AAGATTTCTTCAGATAATTAAATACCTGCTGTAAAAGGGAGTCTTGATCATTTGGTCTGGAAATGTTGTTGTAATGTAGTTATCTCCATGCTGACAGTGGAGATGTTTGGGGGCTGGTCACATTTATAGCATTATTTGACAATTTATACCCATTGATCTTTGTATTGAAAACAAGGAAAAATAGATTTAGTAAGTTAGTGTAAGACATAGCAACCATCAAATGACCATTCATCCCAACTCTGAGTACTCTGTTAATAACAGAACAACCATGGTGAACGCAAGATTAACACACCTGGTTTTGGATGGCAAATTTGAAGTTCACACTAGAAAAAGTAGATGAAACAGTGAGCAATTTGAAGTTATTTAAAATGTAGGACTTATTGCATTACTGTTGGCTAGGCAAAAAGCTCCTTTTTTTTCCAAAGGAATTTATTGCTCTAAATGTATCATGTGCAAAGGATATGATAACCTTCCAATAACCTTCATCTGACATGGTAAATCTGAAACATATTGTAGTTGTGGTGATTCTTGAACATCAGTTATTGCTTCCCAGCACAGTGACTGAAAACCTCAGTACTGTTTTTCAGAGTCTTAGCAGCCCAAAGGCTGTGCTCCATATGACCTTCTGTTCACTGGTGAAGACCTGTTTTGTGTTCCACAGGCTATTATTTATTTTTTTGCTAAAGGTGTGTTTTCTTCTACTAAAGTAATTAAATGTAAATTAGAGTGTCTGATTTACCCATGCCTTGACCTTTAGCTCTTGGGTGCCTAGAAATAGAGTGTAAAACCCTTTCTCTCTTTCTTCACCTCTCCTCCAAGTCCCCCATATGTGTATGAAAATATAGAGCTGGTAGTATTTTTGAGTCATCCAGCTCTTGCTTACCATGGATGTACAGGCACAAGGAGGTCTAAATCTTTTAAGGCATTACTATATGTGGACGTCAGTAAACAGACTATTGTCCTGAGTAGGATTTAAAATACAATAAACCTTTCCTGCCATCTATACCCAGAAATGTTTGCATGTTGTTGCTTCTCAAATGCAGTGTATACCTGTTGGGAAAATACCTTTTCCTCAGTGAGTATATTTGTCTGCTAAGAACGTCTTCTCAGAGTTTAAGAAAGAACTCTAGAAACAGATGCTTTATGGTTCATTTTGGAGGATATTTCTCTCCTCAATGTCCAGAAACATCTCCACAAGTCTGGGGTAGCAGGTGGGGATCCTGGGAATTGGAGCTACTTATGAGTGCAGAGCACCAAACATCTCAAGCTGTATAGAGTTCATTACTTATTCATGGTTTGTGGGAAGTTTCATTAGCCAGTCTTGCAAGCTGTGCCATCTGTTAATACCACCCAGCATGATGACTGATGTAACACAGCAGTCATATCTTCTGGCAGTGAAATGATGCTTTGAAGTTCTTTACAATGAAAAAGATGTTTAAAGTTGCCAGAGAGATGTGTTTGAATGCCAACTCAGGTGTCAAATAGTTATCATCTTTGGGGAGAAGGAATACACCTTCAGGGAGAATGCTCCCTTCGCTCTTTCTGCCAAGAATCATCACAGTAAAGATTTGCCTGCTTCCTCTGTGTTTACTTTGTGTGGGAATGGCATTGACGGAGAGTGAGTGAGTGCTGATGCCCACTTGGAGTGGCAGGAGAAGCTGATGGGAACCCCTCTGTTGAGTAGGTTGTTGCCTGCAGCATGCACACCCACAGGCTGGGGTTGCACAGGCATGCCCAGTATGAAGTGTGTCAGTAGTATCCTTGCTTATACAAGGCTTGAAGGAGGGTTTGCTTTTTTCCCTTGCCATTCATTTGCATTTTGTGTTTGCACAGAATTTAATGTACTCACTGTTAAAAGTGGGTCTCATGATCACACTGCTTGATGGGCTTGAAAAGATCAACTGTGTAAGTTAAGAAATCTGTTCAGTCACTTCTATAGGAAATGTTACTGACACTATCCCCATCTCAGTAATCCTATGATAAATGTCATTGATATTTGGCTGAGTAGGGGAGCAATAGGATCCTATGGCTGCAGGAACTGGGATGATGCATGTGGAAATGACTCTTTGAGCAATTGTCACATGCTGTTCTCCTGTCTGTTCTGATTCTAAATCAAACAGCTGCCAAGACTCTTTACTCATACCAGTTTTTAATCCGAAGCTTTACTTAATAAAATCAAAGACAAGCAGATTTCTTCCAAACACCATTAATTATTTATGCAAGTCTTTAGATAGGACTTTGACTTGCTTTCCAGAAACTATAGGCAGGTAAAATCTATCCATCAAATCACTTCTGTGCAGCTTGGAAATTTCTTTCTTTCTTCTTCTGACATGTCACAGATGTGTAGAGATGGGCTGCAAGAATCGAGTGGAGTTAAAGCAATGCCAGATTTCCTACACAAATCTCAGATTCTCCCACTCCATCTGTAACTTAGGAAGTCACCGTCTCTTGCCAGTTTGTGAAATCCTGCTGCTGCTTTCTGCTCCCATGCTGTGATAGTTCATTTCTGTCTGATAAAACTCTTCTCATGGGAGACCTGCCTTCATTCCAGCTGAGCATTTCAGGGTATCAACCTGGGCAGCAAGCCTGTGTTGGTCTTATGAAATTGTAAATAGTTTTTTAAAAGATATATTTTTTTATTTCCCAAGCAGTGACGTGGGACCATGTCACTGATACCAGCAAGTACCTGCAAACATCCCAGGTGTTCCATGGGGTGGGAGTCCTTGTAGTGACTCACACCCTGCTATTGCTAGGTCCCCACCCTGCATGAAAAGCAGTAACACATGTTGATGCTGAGGAGTTAGAGGGAGGCAGTCACGCATGCAGCTCTGAACAGGCAGTGTGTACATGGTGCAGACCAGCATGTTTGTCTCTGAAAATCAATCTCAAGGCCCATGAACCCATGCAACCACTGGAGCTGGGTGTCTGGACAATGGGAGCATAGGATGTAAATAACCACCATTGGTATTGGTCAACAGGAGTTCTGACTTCTCAGGTCAAATTCCTCCCAGATACACAGACACACGACTTGAAGCAGCCTCAGTGAAATCCAGAGTCTGTGCTTTGAGCCAGGTGGACACTGTGCACCTTTGTCTAACTTTGCATGTGGCTAATTCCATTTCTTTTCTACCTGTGTTTAATGTGTTAATGTCTAATCATATGTGAGGCTTAGTCTGGCCTGAAGCAAAGTGTGTGCTATGTGTCACCAACTATTAAGTGAGATATTTCTGTGTCAACTAAAGGGTGATGATTTCTTTTGTTTCCTTACCAGACCAGATTGAATAAATGCCACCTGATGTCTTGTTTTAAGGGAAATCTGCTGAACAACTAAAATATCAGATCACAGAGCATCTTCTGAAGGAGTCTGCAGTAACAGAGCCATCTGGATATTTTATTGAATGTAGCTTTACATGTGCATTCCAGTTAGGCAAGGAGGCAAAGCTATAAAAATAATTGAATTGCAAAGGGTAATGCCAGAACTAGATGTTGCAGAGGGAGACACCTGCCCTACTCTCCTTTTGTAATACACAGTCTGTCTCCTTCTTTCAAGGAAGCATAAGAAAAAGAATATATGTTTAGAAAACTAGGTGTCTTCAAACTAACTAGGTTATTATCCATAAATCTCTAGGCACTGTCATGCAAAAGAGACTACAACACTGTCCCACATTTTACTTAAGAATGCTATTTTTACTTTCCTTCTCTTTCACTTTCTATCATCTGATTGTAAGCTTGCATGCTTGTAGAGATTCCCCAGTGTAACAGCAACAGAGTCAGCACAGTGGGAGCTCGATGGGTGAGGAGGAGGAAGGCAGGAGGGCTGCAGGCAGGTCACAGAGGAGGGGCATCACTGGGGTGGATGGGACTCACTGCCAGCGGGACGGGGGCGCAGCACAGAGCCCTCCCGAGGCGGAGGCAGTGTGGGAATAGCTGGCTGCCCATCCTCTCACATGATGCTCTCAGACATGCAGAGCTCCATTCAACCTGCTCATCCTCAGTCTTACTAAATTATGTCTCTCTACAGAGGAGTTTTTGTAAGTTGGGAAATTAGATGACTTGTTCTGTGTCCCTTGTACTCCCTTTTAAGCCCAATTAATTATTTCAATTGATTAATATTTTACCAAGCAGCCAAGCAGTTTGCTCGGAAAGGACAGCTCTTCTGGTTTTTTTAGACTAATTGCCAGTCTGGATTTCTGAATGACAATACAGCTGCTAATTAATCTCACTGCAGTTCTCACAGAAAGAGACCCTGATAAGAACTTGCCAATTAACATAAGAAAAAAAAATGAACAGTCCTGTTGTGTTTTTCTGCCATCCATTCCCAGACAGATGAATATAGCTATTAAATACAGAGACAGACCACGTATGAAAGCCAGTGGGCTGTGAGGCTGCTCCATACCTGCCCAGACTTTTTAAATTCAGGATCTAGATGTTATTTATACACCTGTTTACTCTTACTGCCTGATATCACTTGCTGTATGTTCTTTGTATGCAGAAGGAAGGTGAAGCAGGGCAGCACAGCTAGTGTCCGACCATCCCCACAGGGAACTTCTCACAGCGTCCCAACCTTAATCGATAACCAGTGGAAGGCTGAAAGGGGGGTTTTGGCAGGCTGGGTCCCAGTTTTCACATGATTTGTCAATAACAATACATGGGCAGATGCTCAGCTGATGATGGTTACTCAGTCCCTTATCTGCACTCGCTCTGTGAGACCACAGTGAACTATGGGGACTCCTCCAGCGAGGGGGAAAGGACAGGACCTGGTGCTGTTGCCAGTTAGTTTCTATTACCTTGTATTTTCCTGAGTGGTGTTTCTGGCCCACAGGACCACCTGCCATGGATGTTTCTGAAGAGATGAGCAATGCAGCAGTTGCTGGTGTGTGCTGCTATGGGTGACCAGAGAGCTGTCACATAGCAAGACATACAACAAACTCATGGAAAGTGCAGGTTTACACCATGATGTTTGAATTTAAATTATTTTTTATTTCTCTCTGTGCTTTCAGGTCAGAAGATTCTTCACCACAGAAGTGATGTCTTAGAAACTGTAGTCCTCATCAATCCCTCAGATGAAGCAGTTAGTACTGAGGTAAGTCAGAAATACTACTTTGGACATTTCATGAAAGCTACATTAAGTGGACATGATGAGAGTAGTGAAGCAGACATAGTTGAGATGATTTTGGAGCATCATTCACTGCTTCCAGCTTAGTGACTGACAAACTCCAATACTGTCTTCGAAAATTTTAGCAGACTAAGAGCAGGTCCTCACTGCAAATGAAAGGGCATATTAGGAACAAATATGAAAAACATCAGTCATCTGTTGATTTTCTCCCTGGTTTCCCAGACTCCTGACAAATTGTCAGATGCATAGGACAGAACACAGCTCCAATCCCAGCATTCTTTTCCTCATAATGCACCAAATTTTCTTTTTGATGCAGTGGAGGCAGCTGGTGTGAAACTGCATCTGCTTGTCTTCTGCTCCTCCATTGTCCGGTAGCTCTGGATGCCTATTTTACATATGAAGAAAGTGCCTGAAAGGTGCCTTGGGACAAATTTGGGTCTTTGAGAGGAATTACCAGCTGTGTGGTGGTGACTCTGAGTTGATCTGAGCAGCAAAAAGCACCTGACATGAGTAATGGACTCTGGAGAGTGCCCAGAAGAGGACTGCTAATTCCTCATGAACTCAGTAGAGTCACAGAACTGATTGTGTATCTCAAAGACAAATTTGATACATTTAGCTAGTGAGACTGAAGGTTGAAATAATAGGGGTAATGCATTGCTGGCCAGTGTTGGGTAGCACTGCCACAGTACCATTTCTGTTGGGGAATGAATCACCTCTGTTTGTAGTACAGGTGAAAAATGTATTTTTTTACCAACTTTAAGTGCTATTAAACACAAACAGAAAAAAGGACTCTGAAACAAATGAAATTTCTGAAGTTGCAAAAGTTTAAAAGCCAGCTTTGTTAATGACAGCTCATTCACTATAAACCAGTGCAGGAAAATCTCTTACATGGCATTCAAGGTGCTTGGTAGTGATGAGGGGGTTACGTGGGTAGCAGCTCTAAATACATTCACTCAAAAGTAAAAAGTTATAGTGTGTCTGTGTTTGTGGAGGGGTAGAAGAGCCAAAAAAACTACCAGAAAAAGGGAAATTATGTTTCTGTTGCTTGTGCTTGTCATACCTTTGATGGATGACCACATGGAAGAACATGATCTGAGGCCCACTAATGACTTCTGAATCCTGGCATTACTCCTTTGGCTCTGGAAGGTGTTTGGCTACGTTAATTTCATCTCACTAGACACTCTGGGAGACAGTCTTTTCTTTGCTTCCATCTTATCAAACTGGTCACAGACAGAAGCTACAAGCTGAGATTTAACTTGGCTGGCTAAGTAAGGTTGACTGGACACAGTCCAGAAGAAATAATATGAAAGAGGTGGGAGAATTAGATCAGAAGCTGGAGTAGACATGCTGTGCACATTATGGCAAATAGAAGACTTATTTTCATATATCAAGAAATACCCAGGTTGTTGCAGGGGAGACAGTGATACGCCTTGGAGCTCTGACTTCACCAGAAGAGGAACTTGAATCTGTTAATTCAGAAAAAAAATCCCAAACCAACCAACCAAAACCAAAAACCCAACCAAACAAAACCAACCAACCAGACAAAAAAGAAATATGATGTTCCTGCTAATCTGGCTGGTAATAGCCCTATCTGGTGGTAGTCCATGGTTGTGCCCAAAGCTTCTGTCATGTTCTGTCAAATGCCAAAATACCTCCCAGAAGAGAGAACCCCAAATGAAGAGAGATTGTAGTTTCCCAAGGAAAACAAGTTTCTGAAACTCCCATGAACAGTTAATTCCTTCTTAGGAAGTCCCTGTTCTGTTGCTTTAATACTCCTGTGACTGTACCAGAGGTCTGGGAGATGGCTGATCTGCTGATGTGCCTTTCTCTGTTCACACTCTGTCTTTACCTCCATTTTGACTGAACCTACATCTTGCTGTGCACTTCCTTCAAACAATTTTGGACCTCAAAGAAAGATTAAACTGAACAGAATCATCACCTTACAGTATTTTTTCTGAAACTGCGTGTTCTTGATCACAGGAGATAAATTTCCTTCAGTAAGCCCTGTTCGTACCCAGACACAGAATTTTTATGTTCCTTGAAGGTCTTCCATGTGTATCATACATCATTCTCTGTAATCTGTCATTTATTTACTTTTCTCCTTGCCATAGTTTCTAGCTCTGCAGAATGTACTTTATCGTCAGTTAATAAAATAGGTTGAAGGGGAATTATATGAAAGTCACGTATCAGTGATTCACAAGTCAGGAAATAGTTATGCTACTGGAAAACCTGGTGAGTTCACACAAAAGTTGTCAGACTTATGAGTACTGCTGCCAGCAGTAATAGAAGACGTGGAAGAGAAGCCACTTCTGATACGGTTTTAATACAGCTGAAACAGAGAAAATTTGAGCAATGCACACCAGTGCATAGGCTGCACTTACCTATATTTTTGTCTGAAATAGAAATACACTCAATCCATCAAGGATATTTCTGAATTTGTCATTATTTAGTGTAATTAGTGACAGACCAGCATTAGTCCTACATTTAATTAAAGGAACTTTTGGCATAGGATCACTTATTTAATTAAATTACAATGAAAATGTGGTAGAGTTAGAATCTTCTTTCAGATGCATACTCCCCAATGTCTCCTTTCTACTTGTACTGAAAACATGAGTTGTCTAGTGAGATTTAGGTTAAGCCTTCCTGGCTCAGCTTCCCAGGCATTAGCAGGTGGTATATAGAACAAGAGATTGCTTAACAATCAATAGAAAAATTTGAAAGAATAGCTTACTGGGGGAGCTGAGGTGATTATGTCATCTCCATGGAGATGAAACTTGGATGCAATATCATGTGGAGTTGTCCCAGATGGACTCTGCTCATTTGCTCCTTTAGTTTAATATGTAGATAGCCTTGTTCTGGAATCACTATTGTGGTTTGACTTAATTCCTCCTTAACAGAGGAATTAGTGCACTTGAAATTCATACCTTACCATAGGCTGAATTGATTTTTCAGTGTTCAATAACTCTTTTAAAGTCTTAGCAAAATATTTATTCAATTTAAGTTGTAAATTCAGCCAGCAGAAGTATACTGAATATATGGATTTCTCTTAGCATGCAAGTGAATCTCCCCTTTGGGGGTGGTAAACAGGAATGATTAGTAGTTGTAGTGAAGGTTGAGTAAAGTAACGAGTATCTAATTTTAAATAGTCTACCAGAGTTGTCCTGATACAATGCTATTAAAATACACCAGAGTTATACAATGAATATGTTAGTTTTAAAAAAAAATAATTTTGCATTCAAATTTCATTCTCTTGCTTGCTCTTTTTTCTATGTCATTAGTTTGGTTTATTCTTCAGACCTTCTTTCTAATTGATTCTTGTCCCTCCTATTTCCCCTTTTTCACCTTTCTTTGTCTTTTGTAAATAACTTGATAATGTTTTGACAGTCCTTGTCCAGACATTGGTTTTAAATTAGGAGAGATAACTTGTATGTACTCTTTGGAATATAGAAACAGGTGCTCACTCCCATTATTGTTGTATTTCTCTCCTTTATTCTAGGTTCGCTTAATGATCACAGATGCTGCAAGGCACAAGCTCCTTGTTCTAACTGGACAATGCTTTGAAAACACAGGAGAACTCATTCTTCAGTCAGGATCCTTCTCCTTCCAGAACTTCATTGAGATCTTCACAGATCAAGAGGTATGTTTAGAAAAGTGCCTTCTGTACACTGTCATGTGATGGCTGAGGTTTCTAGAAGACTAAATATGGCTTTCTGTTAGAGGCTTTATTTCAAAACATGTATTTATTTTACTTCAGATTTCATGTAAATTGCTTAACAACTGAATTAAATTTTAGTTTGGGATATTAAAAGGTGACTTCCAGAAAGAGAAAATCAAGGAAGCTTTTGACAATGGGAATCAACAGTACTGGATTTAAAATATACAGGTTGTTTATCCAAGACACACATACAAAGCAGTCAACTTGAACTTGACACTGGTTTCTTACCTGGTGGCAGCTAAATAATAGCTGACATTAATAAGACACAAGGTGGCTGTTAGAATAGCTGTATTTTTTTGCACCGTTTATCTGCTTTATTTCTTTATAGTAGCGTTTAAACTTTGGCCAGTCAATCTGTAAAACTTGTGATTTTTACATACCAAAAAGATAAGCATGAAGCATACCAGTATTTAATGCAGTTTGTTTCATGACTTGTTATTTTGCTGTCTTCCTTAATGTACTGTGTCTGAAAGCTCCCATAGGGCAGGAACCCATAGTAAACAAGTTGTCACACTTAATTTGACTGCTGTGTAAAGTATATATTTAAATAAACTGTATGGCTGCATCCCTAGGAATTTAGTTCCAGTACTAATTAGGAGCATGTCAGTGGACTGAGATTTGAAAGTTCAGCACTGAAAAAGTAAAGTTTGCATGAGCTCCAGTGTGACCTTACAGTATCCATGTAATCTATCCTCAAAGCCTCTTTGTTCAGCATATGGTTGTAGGCTGGGAAAAGAGCTGGAATCCTGCTCTCTGAAACATGCATGACACCTATAACTCACTGGCACTTCTCAGAGTTACTTTTCTATGGAATTGCAAACCCAAGCTCCTTACATCTCTGGCTAATTAGCGACACATAATTGCAACACATAATTACTTTATGACTACAGGCAAACTGAGGGACAAATGCTCCTATTACCATTAGGAAACAACATTGTTGGTTGGAAAGGGGTTGGCGATGCATTACAGCTGCTGAGGGATTGCTGCTGTAGTGGGTGTGCAGGGCATACTCCTGTGGGCTATGTACAGCTCAGTTGGCTCATCTCTGCTGCTGGCAGTGTGCTCACCAGCCAGCCAGCATGACCCTTGGCAAGTGTTGGCTTCCAGCCTGTTGTTTCTGAATCCACGGCGTCTCGCTGTTTTTACAAGTTTTCAGGAAACCAAAGAAAGCTGGCATTTGCCATCCTGCAGTTTGTGTATGCGACATTATTTTTAAAATTTGGAGAAAAATAAGATTAAAAAGTTCTAGAAAAAGGTGGTTAGTGATTTTCTAAGTAGTGATCAGATGAAAGAATTCCCATGCTGTCCTGATCCTGGTTGACTTGGCAGTGCCAGGTTTATGGTTGGACTTCAAGCTTTATTTAGCTATTACCTGGACTGTTTTTTTTATAACAGCCACTGCATCTTTGTCGAGTTCTATTTTTGGTAAATGCTGAAAAATAAGTTATGTAACACAAGGAAAGGAAGTGAGACCTACACACAGAGAGGCCCAAAGAGATCTAATGCAATCAAACATCATTAATCTTTTATATAGTCATTTCTTCTGTTGATACAGCTTGTGGTGAAGAATTTAAAATTATTCAGCTGTAGTATTATCTATATCATCCTTATGAAAGCTGTTCTTAAAGCTCGAACTGACAATTGAGTTTGTATGAAGAAGGGTATAGCATTTTGCATGATGATGTTCTGGCATGTTTTCCACTGATATTTTATATCTGACTTACTCCTTTAAAGGAAAAATTTGCTTCATTTGGTGATTTGTTTGTTAAAACCAAATAGAACAGAAATGAGCTACATTTAACTGAATTGTCAGTTAAAAACAAGTCAAATGAAAGTATCTGTGTACTGGGAGAAGCTATAAGACATGTCATACTCTTTCATGTTTGTCTACATATCTGGGACACTCAAATACTGTTTTTTAGTTCAGACTGAAGTAGAACAACAGCTTTTCTGCTGTGGCATAGAAATTCTTACTTTCTGTGCCTTTATTGCAGCAGTTGGGTTTGGTACTAGCCTGTTAACAAATACTGTCAAAATTAATGAAGTTACTCTAGATTTCAAATCAAGTCCGTGAGTTTAAATCACTATAGTGACAAAAGCATTTTTAACCCTAATTTTTTTTCTGGGTCATTTTTTTAGCCCAGTATAATTTCAAAAATATAAAACTTAGAATCATAGATTCATATCATTCTTCAGGTTGGAAAAGACGAATTCACAGAATTGTTTGAGTTGGAAAAGACCTCTAAGATCATCAAGTTCAACCATTAAGCCAACACTGACAAGTCCACCACTAAATCATGTCCCCAAGCACCACATCTACATGTCATTAAATCTCTCCAGGGACGATGGCTCCACCACTTTGCTGGACAGCCTGGTCCAGTGTTTGAAAACGCATTTGGGGAAGAAGTTTTCCCTAAAAGCCAATCAAACTTCCCCTAGTGCAGGCCATTTCCTCTCATCATGTCACTTGTTACTTGGGAGAAGAGACCAACACCCACCTGTCTACAAGCTCCTTTGAGGTAGTTGTAGAGAGCAGTAAGGTCACTCCTGAGCCTCCTTTTCTCCAGATTAAACAAGCCCAGGTCCCTCAGCCCCTTCTCATCAGACTTGTGGTCCAGACCCTTAACCAGCTTCATTGCCCTTCCCTGAACATGCTCCAGCACATCAAAGTCTTTCATGGAGTGAGGGGCCAAAAATTTGTGGCTGTTTCCATTTCTGAAACAATAACTCATTTCTTAATCAAAGAACAGCTAGGGTTGGAAGGCATCTCTGGAGATCATCTAGTTCAGTGCCTCTGCCAAGGTAGGGTCACCTAGAGCAAGTGACACAGGAATGTGTGCAAGTGGGTTTTGAATGTCTCCAGGGAGGGAGACTCCATAACTTCCCTGGGCAGCCTGTTCCAGTGCTGTGCCACACTCAATGTGAAGAAGTTCTTCCTTATGTTGAGATGAAACTTCCTGTGTTTTAGTTCATGGCCACTACTTCTTGTCCCATCACTGGGCACTACAGGAGTCTGGCACCATCCTCTTGACACCTGCCTTTGAGATATTTGTATGTGCTTATAATGCCCTGGCCCATGCAGGGGGTTTAGGAGAAGGTAATTTGAGTTACTCTGGGCAGTGTGCAGGAGAAACAACAAAATTCTCAGGACCTTCAATAAGAACTTTTTACTTGCAAACTTTAAATCACTTGGGTAGAATTAAGGCACTTGGCAAACATTAACTTAGTGAGCTTTAAGGCATCCAGACAGAACAAAGCACTTAACAAGGCATTGAACAAAGTACTTAGCAAAGTATTGACTAGATGCTTTTTGGTCTGGCTTACAATACATTTTGAGAAGAGGAAGATAGAAGACTAGTAATTGAAGGTGCTGGCTCACAAGCCCTAACACACTACTTTTCAAAGATCCTGGCTGATGAGCCACAACACACATCAACAAGCTCCCCATTCCCATAACAAGGTTCAGTACAGAGTATAAAGTAAAGTATGATAGCTGTGCTTTGCCCAGGCTAAGCAAGGGGAGTGAGAAATAAAGACAGAAGAGGGAGAGAGAGAACAAAGAGTATCACCAGTCATTCGATCCCTCATTGGTCCTAACATGTGGATGGTCCAGAGCTGGGTCAAACTATGAGAGTGAAAGACAAAGAAAGGAAAAGGAGAACGAGGGGGCCCAATCTGCTTCCTTTTATAGTTAACCTAGTGCGCACCTCTTACTTAAACTAGATTTTTTGAGCCTTTTTGTTCATAGCCAGTCCTTTGAGCCCTCCCTCTAGGAAGTGAGTTGGTGGGGGCACAGGGGAAATTGAGCAGGAGTCTCCATGTGAAGCAGGAAGGTGGCTTAGGATAGCACTGCCCTACCTCTGCAGGACCCTCTCTTCCAATCACATCTTTCCTGTCATAACAGTCAGAATGTTTGAGACAAGACATACTGGCCCTCCACAATACTGGTGAAGTCTCCTCTCACTCTTCTCTGCTCTAGACTAAATAGGCCCAGCTCCCACAGCTTCTCCTTATAACAGAAGTGCACCATACTCCAAATCCTCTTTGTGGTGCTCTTTCTCTTCTCTAGACCAAACAGACCCATCTCCTTCAGTCTTTCCTCGTAAGACAGACCCCTAATCACCTTTGTGGCCCTCTGCTGGACCCTCTCCTCTCCAGTAGTGTCTTTCTTGAACTGTGGAGACCAGAACTCGATACAGTACTCCTGATGTGGCCTTACTAGAGCCAAGTAGAGTGGGAAGATCACCTCTGTTAACCTGCTGCTCACACTTTTCTGGGTGCACTGCATGATACTACTGGCCCACCTGGCCACAAGAACACACTGCTGGGTCATTGTCAAATCATCATCCACCAAGACTCTCAGGTCCTTCTTCACAGAGCTGGTCTCTAATCGATACAGTACTCCTGATGTGGCCTTACTAGAGCCAAGTAGAGTGGGAAGATCACCTCTGTTAACCTGCTGCTCACACTTTTCTGGGTGCACTGCATGATACTACTGGCCCACCTGGCCACAAGAACACACTGCTGGGTCATTGTCAAATCATCATCCACCAAGACTCTCAGGTCCTTCTTCACAGAGCTGGTCTCTAATAGGTCAGCCCCCGACTTGTAGTGGTACTCAGTGTTATTCCTCCTCAGGTGCAGGACCCTACACTTGCTTTTGTTGAACTGCATTAGATTTCTTTCCACCCAACTCTCCGGCCTATCAAGGTCTCACTGAATAGAGCACAGTCATCAGGTGTATCTGCCACTTCCCCCAGTTTCGTATCATTATCAGACTTGTGCATTCAGACAGGGTGCATTCTATTCCTTCATCCAGGTTGTTAATAAACAAGTTCAGTAATACTGGACCCAGTATTGATCCGTGGGAAATGCCACTGACTACAGGCCTCTTGCTGGATTCTGCTCTGCTGATCACAACCCTCTGAGTTCTGCCATTCATCCAGTGCTTGATCCATCTCACTGTCCATCCATCTAACACACATTTCTTGAGCTTACATCTGTGAGGATGTTATGGGAGACAGTGTCAAAAGCCTTGCTGAAGTCAAGGTAGACAACATCCACTGCTCTCCCCTTGTCAACCCATCCTGCCTTGCCATCAAAGAAGATTGGTCAGGAATTATTTTCCCTTGGTGAATCCATGCTGACTACTCCTGGTGACCTTTTCTTTCACATTCTTAGTCATGACCTCCAAAATGATCTGTACCATCACCTTTCCAGGGATGGAGGTGAGGCTGACTGGCGGGTCCTCATACTTGCCCTTTTGAAGACAGGAGTAACATTGGCTTTTCCGCAGTCTTCAGGCACCTCTACTGTTCTCCATGATTTTTCAAAGATGATGGAGAGTGGCTTGGCAACAAAATCTGCCAGCTCTCTCAACCCATGGATACGTCCCATCAGGGCCCATGAATTTATGGGCGTTAATACCCTTTAGCCAATCTCTAACCCAGCCTTCTACAACCAAGGGGAAGTCTTCCTTGCTCCCATCTTCCTCTCTTACCTGCAAGATATGGAATTCCTGAGGACCAGCCTCAGCAGTAGAGACTGAGGCAAAGGCGGCATGCTGTAGTTCTGCCTTCTTTGTGTCTTCTATCACCAGACACCCATTTGATTCAGCAGTGGCCCCATGTTTTCCCTAATCTTCCTTTTGCTTCTGATCTACTTGTAGAAGCCCTTCTTGTTGTCCTTGAGACCCCATATCAAACTCAATTCCAAGTGGACCTTGGCCTTCCTCGTTTCATCCCTGCATACTTGGATGATGTTCCTATAGCCCTCCCATGTGACTTGTCCCTTTTTCCACATCCCATAAATTTCTGAGATTTGCTAGAAGCTCTCTGCTCATCTATGCAGGTCTTTTGCTCCCTTTGCTTGATTTTTTGCTCATGCTGATACACTGGTCTTGAGTTTGGAGGAAGCGATGCTTGAATATTGACCAGCTCTCTTGGATCCACTTATTTTCTAGAGCCCTAAACCATGGAATTCCTCTGAGCAGGTCTTTGAAGAGGTAAGAATTAGCTCTGGAAGTTCAGGGTTCCAGACCTGCGTATTGCTTTGCTTCTTCCATAAAGGATCCTGAGTTCCACCATGTCGTGGTTACTGTTCCAATAAACTTTCCTGCAACCACTCTTGGTAATCTGGGAGCAGTAGTGGCTTTTCAGAAATCAGCCTGCAGAAAGACCTGCGGTAATGATGGTGTGGTGGAATTTATCCCGTGAGAGAAAGAGAAAGGAAGGCCACTGCTCCTATGAAGATGCTGGCCTCCTTTGTGTGGCAGTTACTCTGCCTGATAAGAGGTTATGCTTTGTCCTTTAGCTATTTGGCTGGCTTTTCTGTATGAACTGGGGCAACCCGGAGACTCATGAGCCAGTGGTAGAGATACACTGGTAGCTCAGGCTGCATTAGCCTCATAGTCCTCATACTCTCTCAATATAAAAGTTTGTACCATCCTTTTGTAAAGGGTGCTGTTGTTCTTTGGGCAGTAGTGACCAGGAGTTAGATCCTCCTTTGTGTTTAAAAAAATACAGCAGCAAACTAATTGTAGTAACAGGTTACTTTAGCTTCTAAGATGAGTACTCAATAGGCTAGAAGCAAATGAAAGAAGTTTCATCTGTCTTACCACGAAGTACTATGCTCTGACTTTGTCATACAAAAAATGAATTTATGTTCTTGAACATTCTTGTATTTTTGTTTTACAACCCTAGATTGGCGAATTATTGAGCACCACACACCCTGCCAACAAAGCCAGCCTGACTCTTTTCTGCCCTGAGGAAGGGGATTGGAAAAATTCTAACCTTGACAGACACAACCTTCAAGACTTCATTAACATTAAACTCAACTCAGCTTCTATATTGCCTGAAATGGAAGGACTCTCTGAATTCACAGAGTATCTGTCAGAATCAGTAGAAGTGCCATCACCTTTTGACATTTTGGAACCACCAACCTCAGGAGGTTTCTTGAAACTCTCCAAACCCTGCTGTTACATTTTCCCAGGGGGAAGAGGGGACTCTGCATTGTTCGCAGTGAATGGATTCAATATGCTTATCAATGGAGGGTCTGAAAGAAAATCTTGTTTTTGGAAACTTATCCGGCATTTGGACAGAGTAGATTCCATTCTGCTCACTCACATTGGAGATGACAATCTGCCAGGAATCAATAGCATGCTTCAACGAAAGATAGCTGAACTAGAAGAAGAACAGTCCCAAGGGTCTACTACCAACAGTGACTGGATGAAAAATCTGATCTCACCTGATTTAGGAGTTGTATTCCTTAATGTACCTGAGAACCTGAAGAACCTGGATCCGAATTTTAGAGTAAAAAGAAGTGTAGAAGAAGCCTGTTTTACTCTCCAGTATTTAAATAAATTGTCTATGAAACCAGAACCTCTTTTCAGAAATACAGGAAATACCATTGACCCCATTATTCTATTCCAGAAAATGGGAGTTGGCAAACTTGAGATGTATGTGCTTAATCCTGTCAAAAATAGCAAAGAGATGCAATATTTTATGCAGCAGTGGAGTGGTACTAACCAAGATAAAGCTGAATTCCTGCTACCAAATGGCCAAGAACTAGACATTCCATTATCCTATTTCACCTCCGTCTCATCTCTCATTGTGTGGCATCCAGCTAATCCTGCAGAAAAAATAATCCGAGTTCTGTTTCCTGGGAACAGCACCCAATATAATATTCTAGAAGGACTAGAAAAGCTCAAGCATTTAGACTTCCTTAAACAACCAATGGTAACACAAAAAGACCTAACCGGGAATATTGCCAGTTCAGCTGTGAAGCAAGCAAAATTGAAACAACGAACAGACAGTAAGGAGAGTCTCAAGCCTGCTGCAAAGACACTACCAAGTAAGCCTGTCAGAAAGGAATCTAAGGAAGAAACACCAGAGCCTGTGAAGCCTAGTTCAGTACCAGAAAAGCCTCAGAAGCTGGAAAGCAAAGAAAAAGTTCCAGTTAAAAAAGAAAAACCAGCAAAAGCAGAGACCAAACCTGTATTTGTGGGAAAAGACATAGGCAGTAAAGAAGAACAATTAGTAAAATATGATGCTTCTGAAAAACTAAGTACAGATGTCAAACCAAAAGTATCAAAGGAGAAGACAGCAAAAAAGGAAGTTAAAGCAAAACCTGAAGAAAAGAAAGAGGAAAAAGAAAAACCAAAGAAGGAGGTTTCCAAAAGAGAGGAGAAAACACTCATCAAAAAAGAAGAAAAACCAAAAAAAGAAGAGATCAAGAAAGATGTTAAAAAAGAGGTGAAAAAGGAAGAGAAGAAGGAAATTAAGAAGGAAATAAAGAAAGAAACTTCATCAAAAGAAGCTAAAAAAGAAAGTAAAAAGGAAGAGAAGAAGGAAATCAAGAAGGAAGACAAAGAAGCCAAAAAGGACATCAAAAAGGTTCCTAAAGAAACAAAGAAGACAGCTATTCCTTCAACTGAAGCCAAAAAGCCAGCAGCAAAGCCTAAACCACAAAAGAAGGAGGAACCTGCTAAAA